AAAAAAGAAAATAAAGAACGTGTAATTTACCGACAGAATCTTGCTAAAAAATCTCCAATATATTTGCCCCCATCCCCGTAAGATAATAAAACGTAAGTTCTATACTGCGTACCTCTTAATTCCTTTTGATTTTCCAAGGGTTGATCCGAAAGTAATACCAACTAAAATTATGTAACGGTTCATCAAATATGCGTTCTTGTGTATTTGAAAAAAATGAAAATAAAATTAGAAAAAGAAAAAGAAATTAAAATTAGAAATTTAAACACTTCTAACACATATTAAACATAATGAACAGAAATTAAAAGTATCTTTTTTAAATGTGCGATTTTACAGAAACAGATATAATAAGCCCCCGCCTATTCGAGTTTCAGCATTCGCGGCTTCACACATACGCGGATTTTTCTTTAGAACATATGTACTTGTTATTCGCGGAAACCCTGAATATTCGCATGTTTTTCTGAAGAACATATGTACAAATTATTCACTGATAACTCCCTCGATTCGCTTATTTTTTCGATGGAACATATTTAAAATATTCTTGTATTATTTCCCTGTTATTTAAGTGACTTAAAACATGTAAAAGTCCATTTTTATGGTAAAAATTGGCAGAATTGTACATCTTCATTGTATAAAATAAACGCAAAAACATGCATAGTACTTGGGCTTTGTTCTTTGTTAGGAGCTGTGACTGGGTTCTTAAAAGTGGCTTATGCTAAGTCTGGGGTGGCATCATCACAGTTCTGTTTTTAGAACGGATTAATCTATTTTACATTGATTCCAATTGGAAAAAAAATAGTTTCGGTTTACGAACATTTCGGGTTACGAACGAGCTGCAGAAAGGAATTAAATTCGTAAACCGAGGTTCCACTATAATATCGACTAAAAATTATTAAGAAAAACAAACGAACAGGGTTATACCTGTTACTATTTTTCCCACACAGAGAAATTACAACATATATACAGTGAGCCCCGCTTATTCGCGTTTTAGCATTCGTGGCTTCACACATTCGCGGATTTTTCGTTAGGCTTGTTATTCACGGAAACCCCGATTATTCGCGGGTTTTTTTCTGAAGAGCATATGTACAAATTATTCACTGAGAAGTCCCACGATTCGCTTATTTTTTCCATAGAACATATTTAAAAGATTCTTGTATTATTTTCCTGCTTATATTAAGCGACTTAAAACACATAACAGTCCATTTTTATGGTAAAAATTGGCAGAATTGTACATCTTCATTGTACAAAACAAACGCAAAAACATGCATAGCATTTGGGCTTTGTTTTTTCTTAGGGGCTGTGACTGGGGTCTTAAAAGTGACTGATGCTAAGTCTGGGAACATCATCACAGTTCTGTTTTTAGAAAATGTTTTAAAATTTATATTCTATGTCGTGTTACACATATTTTATACAGTATTTTCAATGGTTGTATCGATCTATGCGTAATTAAAAATGGTTATTGTACGTTTGAAAGAAAATTTACGCAAGTGACTGGTCACCAATACTTTTTTTCAAAAATGTTTTTAAAAGGCTCTGAAATGTTTCTAAAGTGTTTAGAATGAAAGTTTAAAAGGCATATCGGGTTTTAACAATCAAAAGAGTTACTTATAAGAACTTTTAGGGGGGTATTCTTGTATTATTTTCCTGTTATTTAAGTGACTTAAAATATATTTACGGTAAAAATTGGCAGAATTGTACATCATCAGTGTATAAAACAAACGCAAAAACATGCGTAGTACTTAGGCTTTGTTTTTTCTTAGGGGCTGCGGCTTGGGTCTTAAAAGTGGTTGATAGTAAGTCTGGGGGCATTATCACAGTTCTGTTTTTAGAACGGATTAATTTATTTTACATTGATTCCAATTGGAAAAAATAGTTTCGGTTTACGAACATTTCGGGTTACGAACATTTCGGATTACGAATATTTCGGGTTACGAACGGGCTGCAGAAAGGAATTAAATTCGTAAACCGAGGTTCCACTATAATGTCGACTAAAAATTATTAAGAAAAACAAACGAACAGAGTTATACCTGTCACTATTTTTCCCACACAGAGAAATTACAACATATATACAGTGAGCCCCGCTTATTCGCGTTTCTGCATTCGCGGCTTCACACATTCGCGGATTTTTCTTTAGAACATATGTAATTGTTATTCACGGAAACCCCGAATATTCGCATATTTTTCTGAAGAACATATGTACAAATTATTCACTGAGAATTCCCTCGATTCGCTTATTTTTTCGATAGAACATATTTAAAATATTCTTGTATTATTTTCTTGTTATTTAAGTGACTTAAAACATATAACAGTCCATTTTTATGGTAATAATTGGCAGAATTGTACATCTTCATTGTACAAGACAAACGCAAAAACATGTATAGCACTTGGGCTTTGTTTTTTCTTAGGGGCTGTGACTGGGGTCTTAAAAGTGACTGATGGTAAGTCTGGGGTTATTATCACAGTTCTGTTTTTAGAAAATGTTTTAAAATTTATATTTTATGTCTTGTTACATATATTTTATAGAGTATTTTCAATGGTTGTATCGATCTATGCGTCATTAAAAATGGTTATTGTACGTATGAAAGAAAATTTACGCTAAGTGATTGGTCACTAATACTTTTTTTCAAAAATGTTTTTAAAAGGCTCTAAAATGTTTCTAAAGTGTTCAGAATGAAAGTTTAAAAGGCATATCGGGTTTTAACAATCAAAAGAGTTACTTATAAGAACTTTTAGGGGGGTATTCTTGTATTATTTTCCTGTTATTTAAGTGACTTGAAACATATTTACGGTAAAATTTGGCAGAATTGAATATCTTCCATGTAAAAAAAATAACAAACGCAAAAAACATGCGTAGTGCTTCGTAAAACGATGGTCAGGGCTCAAAGGCTTAATAAGATTTCTCCGGTAGGCGAAAATGAATAACGATGATGTTTAAATAAATAAAATGGGCGTCAACTGAAATAATCCACTGAAAATAACGTTTCAGATGATAAAGATCTGTCGGATAAATTAAGTTAAAAAAAAACATCGAGTCTAAAATTCTCTTTGTTTACGTTTGGATACGAAACTTTGCGGACATGAAAAACATTAGAGAGATCTATGACAGGAGAAATCCCGCTTGAGAAAACAAAATTTGGCCAAGTCGGTAACGCGTACCGGGCTAAAAGTAGCTAACTCTGGATATGAGGGATGCAGTTTCGATTTCACCAAGAAAGTGCCAATTTTTATTTAATAAGATTTCTAGGCTACCAGAAAATAAATAAATATACCGTTTATTAAATAAATGGACCCCCACCCCACTCAAATACGAGTATCCTGTACAAATAACGTTTAGAGTAATAAAGATAGTTGCTTATTATCCTGGTTTCTGGTTATAACATATTGAAAAACTGGTTCTCTAGACCATGAAGGGCTTAAGAGTGAAGTTATGCGGAAAACATCCCCTGTTCCACAAAGTATTTTTTTTTAGAAAAGCAAGGCGATAAAGCCACTAAGAAGCCAAGGATCTACTGGAAAAAAGTGAAGGAAGAGACTTTATCAATCACTAGGAACTCAATCAGGAAACAAGGGATAAACCCCTGTTCCTGTTCAAAAGTCAGTTCGAACGATCCTTTCCTTAACTACACAATGAGCTTCGCCATGGTTACATACAATTTTGAATTCAGAGATTTCCTTTTCTTAGACCGGTTGCTACCAAAGTGTATAAAAATCAGTCTGTTAAGGAGTCGACATTTGTCGGGTTCAACGTGTCAATGCGAGCAATCCTTTCCTTAGCTGCATAATATGTGCCTCGTCAGGGTTACATACAGTTTTGAATTCAGAGTTTTCCTTCTCCTAAATCGGTTGCCACCCAAGGCTAAAGAACCCAGTCTGTCCTGCTATTCATAGCATTTACTTCGCCAGGGCTATATACAGTTTTGAGTTCAGAGTTATCCTTCTCCTAAATTGGTTGCCACCCAAGGTTAAAGAATCCAGTCTGTCTTGCTATTCATAGCATTTACTTCGCCAGGGCTACATACAGTTTTGAATTCAGAGTTTTCCTTCTCCTAGACTGGTTGCCATCTAAGGCTATAAAATTCAGTCTGTCCCGCTATTCATAGTATTTGATTCACCAGGGCTACATACATTTTTGAATTCAGAGATTTCCTTCTCCTAGATCAGTTGCCATCTAAGACTATAGAACCCAGTCTGTTAAGCAGTCAACCCTAGTCAGGTTCATCGAGTCAATGCGAACCATCCTTTATAGAATTTGATTCTCCAGGGTTACATAGAGTTTTGAAATCAGAGTTTTCATTCTTCTAGACCGGCTACCACCCAAGGCTATAGAACCAAGTCTGTTAAGGAGTTGACCCTAGTCGGGATCATCAAGTCAATGTGGACGATCCTTTCCTTAACTGCATAGTTTGTGCTTCTCAAGGATTCTCCTTGAGCTGTTGTCAACCAAGGCTATATCACCCAGGGCTACATACAGTTTTGAATTCAGAGTTTTCTTTCTCTGAGACTGGTGGCACCCAAGGCTATAGAATCCAGTCTGTCCTGCTATTCATAGTATGTGAAAATCACGTGACGTCTTTACACATTCCAGTGTACTCACACTACCACATTTTAAAAGCTGTCCTCAAATATCTAAAAACTGAATCATTTCAAACCTCTTCAGCAGTATGACAGAGATAACGACAGCCCAAATTCTTAACCTAAACTTCAGTATTAAACGACCCATAAGGATTGATTGATGTCGTCGTTTTTTTACGGATTATCAACCCTTTTCAGATTAATTAAAGCCAGAAAATACTTTTAGACTGAATGAATTTATTTTGGGGCGGGGGTGATATATAATGATGGAGGCTTACAAGTCTTACTAATTAATCCATAGATCGGGGAGAAAATTTCGTTTCAGACCTTTCCCAAAAGTATTTTCGTGTGAATAAATATAACGGACATCGATTGAAATTGAAACTCGGCCTCCCGAGCTCTCATCCTTTACGCCAACCATATATCCAAACTTACAACACCTGGTATTCCCAAACGGTTACCCATCTAGCTACTAACAAGCCACGACGTTGCTTAACTTCGGTGATCGTACGAGAGCTGTACTTTCAAAGTAATATGGCCGTATACAGTACGGTCGACTCGGCTACTGAAAAAACGATTAGTTGTTTTTCTAGATCTCCTTCTTAATTTGTAAGCTTTCACAATTCGTCGGTTTAAATCCGCAAATGACCTTTTAAACAAATCTATTTAAAATGTTTCCAACACAAAAAAATGAAAATATATTCGAAATATTCCCAACGTCATATGTACATTCCTTAAGTAGGTAAGTAATAATTGCCATATATATATATATATATATATATATATATATATATATATATATATATATATATATATATATATTTTGTTTTTTGTGCGTCCATGGAATTTTCCGTTAATTATCGTATGTGTCAAAACTGGTGATTTATTACCTGTCAATATTTCACGGACAGATAGGTAAATTAAGATTGATAGTAAGCAAATCAAGTCATTACGAATTTATAACACGGGAAATAACTATCATGATAAAAAATGTCCAAAGTCCAGCCTTGAAAATCACTTGACCCAGCTCGTTTACCTCAGCCTCTTTTAATATGTCACTCCAAGAGAAGCTAAATTAGAAACGAAACAAAAAAAAAAAATCGGCATCATTTGGACCATCTTTACAGAATTCTTAAAAAAAAACGCCGTGTTCATTGCAAAGTGAAAGACAAAGTCTGGTGAAAAATGACATTTGTAAAGTATTATAAAATTAGCAAAAAGTATGAATGCAAATTTTATCTCCCCAGCTATGGGTTAATTAGTAAGACTTTTATCACTATATTATTATACTCGGGGATATAAATGTATAGAAACTACAATGCCACAAAGTGAGGGATCAGTTTATGTAGTGATTATAATATAGGACGGATCCCCCACTTTAGAACCACTTAGTAATTTCTTGTTTGTTAATCAAATTCTGATTAGCTATGAATCCACCGCTTCTATCCCCAGCTATGGGTTAATTAATAAAACCTGTATCACTAAACCATTATCATCTCACAAAATAAATATTACAATTTAAAAACATTTTCTGCCTTTAAATAAACTGTGAAGGGTTGATAAACAATAAAAAAGATAAAGACAAGCAAATACTGGTTAGCTACGCAAGTATTTTAGATTTATTTACATTCTCTGGAATATAAATGTATAAAAAGTACCGTGACCACAAAGTGTGTAATCAGTTTATATATTGGTTTTAACGAAGAATTCATCCCCCACTTTATATCAACGTTATTTTTATTTATTTTTTTTTTTTTGCTTATCAAATTCTTATTAGATATGAATCCATCTTTTCTTACCCAGATATGGCCTAATTAGTAAAATCGTTATTGCCTAAAATAAAGTTGTACAATCTAAAAATATTTTCTGGCTTTAAATAACCGGCAAATTTTTGATAAGCCGTAAGAAACATGCTTTTGTACAAAAGCTACATGTAAATAATTGCAAAATGAACCACAAGGCCATGTTGTACAACACACCATATTCCACATGGGTTGGTTATATACACTTTAACGTAAATACCTTTGGGAAAAGTATGAACCCAAATTTTCTATCCCCAGCTATGGATTAATTAGTAAGGTTTTTATCATCAAACCATTATTATCGCGCAAAAAAAAAAAAAATCTCACAATCTAAAAATAATTTCTGGCATGAAATAAACAGCAACGGGTTGATAAACCGTAAAAAACGATTCAATCAATCAATCAATCAATCAAATACTGATTAGCTACACAGGCAAGTTTTTTTTAAATTTATTTACATTCTCTGGAATATAAATGTATAGAAAATATCATGACCAAAAATTGAGGGACCAGTATATATATTGGTTGAAATATAGAATTAATCCCCCACTTTATATCAACATTATAATTTCTTGTTTGTTTATTAAAGTCTTATTAGGTATGAATCCAACTTCACTCCGCAAACTATGGATTAAATCGTATGATTTGTATCAATAAATGTACTATAGATTGGGGTTCACACTAGACTTCATCGTCAATCCTAATATTTTACTAACGTGAAATCAAGCCCCTCAAGATGACACACCGGCCCCCAACCGTGGGGAGAAAAGAAATCCGAATGACCCTTAATGGCGGTAGTACTCAATAAAAAAATATCAGATCTATCGACTGAGGATGAAAAGAAAAAGGGACGTGTGGGTTACACTGAGATAATTTGGAAAGTACTTAGAGGGATCTACATTCGGTTTCACCTTCCTCATATCCTGAGATATTAGGAAAACCGAATCAATCCTACTGAGATGACACACCGGCCCGCAACCGAGAAGAGAAAGAAAGCAAAATGACCCTTAATGTTGATATTACTCAACAAACCTATGGGATCTATAGACCGGGGAAGAAAACAAGAAGAGATGAGAGAGAAGAGTAAGAATAGAAAGGGAGACACGCTGATAGAGTTTTGGAAGTACGTTGAGGGGACAACACTAGATCTCTCCTTTCCTGATAGCGTGAGATTTGGGGGAAAACCCGAATCAACCCTATCGAGATTCCGCACCGGTCCCCAATCGAGAAGAGAAAGAAAGCCGGATGTCTCTTAATGTCGGTATTAACAAATCTGTTAGGATCTAGCAACTAAGGGAGAAGAGAAGAAGAAGAGGCGTGAGAGAAGAGTGTGGATATGGTGTGGGTTACACTGATAGAATTTGGAAAGTACGCAGAGGGATCTACACGCGAGTTCGCCTTCCTGATATCGTGAGATTTGTAGAAACCCGAATCCACACTAATGTGATGACACACCGGCCCCCAACCGAGAAGCGAAAGAAAGACGAATGTTCCTTAATGTTGGTATTACTCAATAAATCTATCGGATCAAGTGACTGAAGAAGAAGAAGAAGAAGAAGAAGAAGAAGAAGAAGAAGAAGAAGAAGTGTGTGAATAGGATGTGGGTGACACTGATAGAATTTGGAAAGTACTTAGAAAGAAGAAGAAGAAGAGGAGGAGGAGGAAAAAGAAGTGTGTGAATAGGATGTGGGTGACGGTGACAGAATTTGGAAAGTAGAAAGAAGAAGAAGAAGAAGAAGAAGAAGAAGAAGAAGAAGAAGACTATGAAGGGGTGACGGTAGACCTGTGAAATCTTGCATGCATTAATTTCAACTCTTCTTATTAATAACTGCATTGTTTCTTTCCAGGTACGAGGATGGGCTGAAAAGTTCATAAGTTGACTATGAAGGGGTGATGCTAGAGCTGTGAAACCTTACATGCATTCATTTCAACTCTTCTTATTAATAACTGCATTGTTTCTTTTTAGTTACGAGGACGGGCTGAAAAATCAGCCAGCAATACAGTGGCCCCTGCATATGTTATCGTGTTAGAAAATGTTTGGTTAAAGTCAGTAAACAGAAGCTCAATGTCGTTGACTCATCGTTGAATTTTCTACCTGACTTTTATTTACTTTTACCTGTAGTTGATTGGTTGTCTTTATCACGTGTCTTGGCCATTTGATGCGTACAATGCAAGTTGGGTTGGCCACGGAGCGAGATTCCCCGATTGGAAAACCCATCGTGCTAACCCCATGATGTCTTAACGGAATTTCATAGATAAAAATTGCGTCGACAATTTAGAAAGGGCAGAGGGAAAAAGAAGAAAGAAAGAACGATTGCATAAATAAATGAAAGAGAAGAACACAGGTAAATAGACCTTGTGCCACATTTATATAATCACTGGGAAATAGAAGAAAGAAAGAAAGAAAGAAAGAAAGAAAGAAAGAAAGAAAGAACGAAAGAAAGAAAAAGAAAAGAAAGAAAGAAAGAAAGAATAACAAATGAATGAAAAAGAACATTGGGAAATAGTTGGAAGGAAGAAAAAAGAATGAGGGAAAGAAAGAAACGAACAGTGGGAAATAGAAGAAAGAAAGAAAGAAAGAATAAATGAATGAAAGAGAAAAACAGAATGAAATAGAAGAGAGAAAGAAAGAAAGAAAGAATGAATAAAATAAAGAGAAAAACAGAAGGAAATAAAAGAAAGAAAGAAAGAAAGAAAGAAAGAGGACGAAGAGAATGAAAGCACGGAAAGAAAGAAAGAAAGAAAGAAAGAAAGAATGAATGAATTAATGTATGAATGAATGAGAAGACCTGTGGTAATTAGAAGAGTAAAAGAAAGAATGAATGAGTGAATGAATGAAAGAGGAGACCAGTGCGAAATAGAAGAAATAATGAATGAATGAAAGAAGAACTGTGGAAAATAGAAGAAAGAAAGAATGAATGAATAAATGAAAGATTAGAACAATGTGAAATAGAAGAAAGAAAGATAGGAAGGAAGGAAGAAAGAAAGAAAGAAAGAAAGAAAGAAAGAAAATATTAAGGATAGTGAGATAAAGAAAAACACTCTCTCATTCGAAGGCAAAATGTAAAGGCAAAAGTAAGAGAGAAAGAAGCATGAAATATATTATCTGTTACTCCGATTGTTAGTTGCTACGAAGAGTGAAATGAATGGAAGGAAGAAAGGAAGGAAGAAAGAAAGAAAGAAAGAAAGAAAGAAAGAAATTTAACTATTATCTCTCACCCCGATGATCCGTTGCTAATAAAACTGAAAAGACAGAAAGTAAGGAAGAAAGAAAGAAAGAAAGAAAGAAAGAAAGAAGTAAAATAGTGGAAAGAAAGAAAGAAAGAAAGAAAAAAGAAAGAAAGAAAGAAAGAAAGAAATTTAACTATTATCTCTCACCCCGATGATCCGTTGCTAAGAAGACTGAAAAATACAGAAAGGCAAAAAAAAAAGAAAAGAAAGAAAAGAAAGAAAGAAAGAAAGAAAAGAAAAGAAAGAAAGAAAAAAAGAAAAAAAAAAAAAAGAAAGAAAGAAAAAAAGAAAAAAAGAAAGAAAGAAAGAAAGAAAGAAGTAAAATAGTGGAAAGAAAAAAAGAAATAAAAAAGAAAGAAAGAAAGAAAGAAAGAAATTGTGAGAAAAGAAAAAAATGTCAGAAATAAAGAAAAATGAACGAACGAAAGATAGTGAATGAAAATAGCCCTAAAATCTATCATCTCTCAATCTGATCATCCGTTTCTATAAAGAGTGAAAGGGTAAAAGTAAAACGGAGAAAGAAAAAGAAAGAAAAATGACAGAATAAGAAAAAAGAAAAGAAAAAAAGAAATAGAAAGAAAGAAAATACAATTAAAATCTGTCATTTGTCGCATTGATTATCCGCTTCTAAGAAGAGGAAAAATATAGAAGCCGGAAAGAAAGAAAGAAAGAAAGAAAGAAAGAAAGAAAGAAAGAAAGAAAGAAAGAAAGAAAGAAATCTATTATCTCTCACCCCAATAATCCGTTGCTAAGAAGACTGAAAAGACAGAAAGTAAGGCAGAAAGGAAAAGAAAGAAAGAAAGAAAGAAAGAAAGAAAGGAAGAAAGAAAGAAAGAAAGGAAGAAAGAAAGAAAGAAAGAAAGAAAGAAAGGAAAAGAAAGAAAGAAAGAAAGAAAGAAAGAAAGAAAGGAAGAAAGAAAGAAAGAAAGGAAAAGAAAGAAAGAAAGAAAGAAAGAAAGAAGAAAGAAAGAAAGAAAGAAAGGAAAAGGAAGAAAGAAAGAAAGAAAGAAAGAAAGAAAGAAAGGAAAGAAAGAAAGGGAAGAAAGAAAGAAAGAAAGAAAGAATGCAAGAAAGAAAGAAAGAAAGAAAGAAAAAAAGAAAGAAAAGAAATAAAAAAAAAGAAACGAAAGAAAGAAAAGATAGAAATAAATAAAAGAAAAAAGAAAGGAAGAAAGAAAGAAAAAAGAAAGGAAAAAAGAAAGAAAGAAAGAAAGAAAAGAAAAGGAAGAAAGTTTCTATAAAGGAAAGGAAAAGAAAGAAAAAAAGAAAGAAAGAAAGAAAAAAAAAAAAGAAAGAAAAAAGAAAGAATGGGAAAAAAATAAGAAAAGAAATTGTGGAGAAAGAAAAGTAAGAAATAAAAAATCTCTCAACGAAAGTCGGAATCTAGATTAAATCTATCATTCTAATCTGAAGAAAAGAAATTCTAAGAAAAGAAAAAGGGTAGAAAGAAAACGGAGAAAGAAAGAAAAAAAAGAAAAGAAAAAAATGACAGAATAAAAAAAATAAGAAAAGAAATAGAAAGAAAGAAAATACAATTAAAATCTCTCATCTGTCGGTTTGATTATCCGCTTCTAAGAAGAGGAAAGTAAAAGAAAGAAAGAAAGAAAGAAAGAAAGAAAGAAAGAAAGAAAGAAAGAAAGAAAGAAAGAAAGGGAAATGGAGAAACAGAAAGAAAGAAAGAAAGAAAGAAAGAAAGAAAGAAAGAAAGGGAAATGGAGAAACAGAAAGAAAGAAAGAAATAGGGTAAAGAAAAAAGAAAGAACGAATGTATCAATAAAGCATGTTATTTGTCACTCCGATTATTCGTCTTTTGTCGTATTAGTTTGAAAAGAAAAGGTAAAAAGGAAAAGAAAGAAAGGAAAATGAGTTTGTAGAAAAACAGAAAAAAAAGAAAGAAAGAAAGGAGAAGGCGAAATACAAAGAAAGAAATAAAATCTGTCATCTGTCAATCGAATTATCCATAGCCCTGATGACTGAAAACCCAAAAAGTGAAGGAAAAAAGTAAGAAAGAAACTATAACATTTATTTATCATCTGTCACTCCCATTATCCGTTGTTAAAAAGAGTTGGAGAGACAAAATTTCAGGGAACGATTGTCTTTAAAAAAAAAGGGCCTAAAATGGAAATAGGATATTAATTCCTTTTTATTTTTAATGAAACCTCCCCGCCACCTTTTCTTTCTTTTCCTTTCGTTTTCTTTCTTTTTCTTTCATTTGTTTATTCTCCCTCATATGTCGACCTGATCTATTCCGACCAGCAACATATAATTATATCCTATAGATTCATTTACAGTGTACTGAGCGCTACATCTAATTTAGAACCGAAAACCCCTTGATCAGCGCCCGAGGACTCCATGCCTTGGCAACAGCTTTTAAAATTATAGTTTTCATTATGCCCAATCCTTTACTCGGACCGGAAGTGATTGTCAAGCAGCAGAACTGAGGTGACATTGCCACTTCCGGGTCATTCGTTTCCGGTTGTATGAGTGACGTCACCGTCTCTACTAACGTGAAATCATAATTTATTATTGCTCGCTTCAACCGACTGTGTTATGGAGTGCTAGGCTCGAGTAATATATATATATATATATATATATATATATATATATATATATATATATATAGATAGATAGATAGATAGATAGATAGATAGATAGTGTTATGGAGTGCTAGGCTCGGTAAGATATATATATATATATATATATATATATATATATAGATAGATAGATAGATAGATAGAGAGAGAGAGAGAGAGAGAGAGGAGGAGAGGAGAAGGAGATAAATAGTGACAAAGCAGAAAATAAGAGTAATGAATAATAAGGAAATCCAAAAGAAAGTATAAGAAAAAGAAAAGAAAATATTAAAAAGAAAGAAAGAAAGAATGAGAGAAAGAAAGAGAGAAAGAAAGAAAGAAAAAAAGACAGTTGGAAAAGAAAGAAAGAATGAGAGTGGCAAAGAAAGAAAGAAAGAAAGAAAGAAAGAAAGAAAGAAAGAAAGAAAGAAAGAAAGACAGTTGGAAAAGAAAGAAAGAATGAGTGTGGCAAAGGAAAGAAAGAAAGAAAGAAAGAAAGAAAGAAAGAAAGAAAGAATATGTGGGGCAAAAAAAAAAAGAATGAATTAAAGAAAGAGAGAAAAAAAGAGAAAGAAAGAAAGAATATTGGGGCAAAAAAGAAAGAATTAGTGTGGCAAAGAAAGAAAGAAAGAAATAAAGAAAGAAAAAAAGAAAGAATATGTGGGGAAAAAAGAAAATTTTAGAAAAGAAAGAAAGAAAGAAAGAAAGAAAGAAAGAAAGAATATGTGGGGCAAAAAAAGAAAGAATGAGTGAGGCAAAAGAAAGAAAGAAAGAAAGAAAGAAAGAAAGAAAGAATATGTGGGGCAAAAAAAGAAAGAATGAGTGAGGCAAAGAAAGAAAGAAAGAAAGAAAGAAAGAAAGAAAGAAACAAACAAACAAACAAACAAACAAACAAAACAAAGAATGGGTGGAGCATAAAAAGAAAGAAAGGAAGGAAGGAAGAAAGAAAGAAAGACAGTAGGAATAGAAAGAAAGAATGAGTGTGGCATAGAAAGAAAGAAAGAAAGAAAGAATGAGTGGAGCATAAAATAAAAGAAGGCAGAGATATAGAAAGAAAGAGTGGGAAAAGAAAGAACGTGTTGGAAATACATTAAATAACAGAATGGAAAAGTAAAGAAAGAAAGAAAGAAAGAAAGAAAGAAGAAAGTAAACAGAAATATAGAAAGAAAGAACGTAAAGAAATAAAGTTAAAAAAAACTATTAAAATGGCTGATTGTTGCGCCTTTTCCGAAATAATTTGCATATGGTTGTATATATATATATATATATATATATATATATATATATATATATATATATATATATATATATATATATAAAGAAAAAAAAAAAAAAAGAAAGAATAGATTAGTTAATAGAAAGCGTTAAAAAGAAACATATATATTCCAAGCATAGCTTAGATGTGGCACAAGGCCGAAAATATGAGAGATAAGCTTGCTAATCATGACTACACCAAGGTGCGCATTATATATAGAAAGAAAGAGAGATAATATGGTTGATGATGAGGGTTTTTTTATCTCGTTCTTTCTTTCTTTCTATATATATATATATATATATATATATATATATATATATAAGAAGAAAAAAAAAGAAAGAAAAAAAGAAATAAATATATATATATATATATATATATAAATATATGATGATATAACCTCCATTAACCTCCATTTTTTTGCGTAACCTTTTTTTTCCAAAGTTTCATTCCTGGCTGACATGAAGTTGAAAGATTATATTGAATGCATTACTAAGTCAGCTGCTAAGAAAGTTTTATTGTCTGTGTCATGCTATACAATTTTCCTCTCTTGAATTTTCTTTTTTTCTTTTATGTGCCTTTATTATGTGACTATGTCCTTTCAGGGTTTAGTCGACCACGGCTCTCCACCACTTCCTATCCCTTACAGCTCTCAACAAGTCCCCTCCCTCTGCTTCCTCCTCCAGACCACGTTCTGTCATCCATCAGTTCATGCCCGCCGGGTTTGTCACGCGTTGTTTTCTCTTACCTCTCTTTCTCTCTTTTGGACCCGTCAGTATCAGATTCTCCAGGTCCCACTTCCTTATGATGTGTCCCAGAAATTTCATCTGCCTCTTCCTGATATTAGGTATAAGCCTCCTCTTTGTTTGCAACCTCTCTAAATTCTCAACGTTGCTCGCACGCTCAATCTATGATATCCTGAGCATCCTTCTGTAGAATCACATCTACGTCGCCTTGAGTCTCTTCGTCTTTGAGGAAATCGTCCAACATTCGTTGCCGTAAAGAATCCTCCTGTCTAGCAATACTCTGCCCAGCTTTTGAAATGGATCCTTGGCCATCCTAATATGTTCGGCCAACGATATCCTTAGTATTCCTCTGTAGAACCACATCTACGTCGCCTCGAGTCTCTTCTTCATCTTTGAAGAAATCGACAAACATTCGCTGCTGTAAAGAATGACACATGTCACGTAACAGTTCAGTATTCTTTTCTTTGTTACCAAAAAATTATGATGTCTTGCAATACTCTGCCCAGCTCTTGGAATGCGTCCTTGGCCTTCCCAATACGTCTACGGATCTCAAGGTCACACTTACTGTCTTCTGTCAAAGTGCTTCCCAGATATTTAAACTTACGCGTCTACTTGATTCTAGTGTTGCCGGCCTGCAAATCGCATTTCCGTCGCATCCTCTTACTGATGAATCTAGCTTACATATTTACAAGTCTATATTTCGTCCATACTGCTGCCACGTATGGTCGGGTCCTCCTGTGGTATATCTAGAGATTCTTGATAAAATCGAGAAAAAGAATCAGCAATACTATTGGTCCTGACCTGGCGTCTCGGATTCAGTCACTTTCTCGCCGCCGTAATGTAGCTTCCCTGTGCCTTTTCTATAAATACTTTCATGGTAATTGTTCGGATGA